TCAGTTAATTTAGCCTCCCCACACTTTAAGGTGGTACCTAATTTTCCTACTTGACAGATGCAACTGTCTTTTAGGTTGCAAAGGTCGACAACAGGCTACACAATTGGTTGGATACCCACTCCAACCCGGGCTGGCTTTGAACTCATGACCTTTTGGTCAGAGTGATCTTAATGCAGCTGACACTCAGCCAGCTGCGCCACAATCCTAATTCTAACTCTAAACCTGCGCTGTTCTTGTCCCAGGACCCTAACCAAGCCTGTCTACTATTTTCTCGAATTAGTTTGTATTAATAGAAAATAGAACTTTGCTTGGCATGTATTAATGAAACGATTTGCTGAAGTCAGAGGTGTCTTAGACTGAACGCAACATGATCTTGGCCAAATAACTATTTCTATCCTAATAAACATAACTACATATATTGATTTAAAAATTATAATTCAATTCTCTCCGTTCGTAAGCACTAATAGCATGATTTGATTCTCTCCTCTCCAATGCATTGAAAGGATTTCAGAAAATCCCCTTCATGACTTAGGGAAGTCAAACTGGTGACCCATGTTCTTTGTTATTGCTTTTTTAATCACGATATTAGGAAAACCTTTATTGAATCTGCCTTAATTAAATAGATGAAGGGCTAGAAGGCATGATCATCAAGTTTGCAGACGACACCAAATTGGGAGGGATAGCCAATAGTCCAGAGGACAGGAGCAGGATTCAAAACGATCTTGACAGATTAGAGAGATGGGCCAAAACTAACAAAATGAAGTTCAACAGTGACAAATGCAAGATACTCCACTTTGGCAGAAAAAATGAAATGCAAAGATACAGAATGGGTGACGCCTGGCTCGAGAGCAGTACGTGTGAAAAAGATCTTGGAGTCCTCGTGGACAACAAGTTAAACATGAGCCAACAATGTGATGTGGCGGCAAAAAAAGCCAATGGGATTTTGGCCTGCATCAATAGGAGCATAGTGTCTAGATCCAGGAAGTCATGCTACCCTCCTATTCTGCTTTGGTTAGACCACACCTGGAATATTGTGTCCAATTCTGGGCACCCAATTCAAGAGAGATATTGACAAGCTGGAATATGTCCAGAGGAGGGCGACTAAAATGATCAAGGGTCTGGAGAACAAGCCCTATGAGGAGCGGCTTAAGGAGCTGGGCATGTTTAGCCTGAAGAAGAGAAGGCTGAGGGAGATATGATAGCCATGTATAAATATGTGAGAGGAAGCCACAGGGAGGAGGGAGCAAGCTTGTTTTCTGCTTCCTTGGAGACTAGGACGCGGAACAATGGCTTCAAACCACAAGAGAGGAGATTCCATCTGAACATGAGGAAGAACTTCCTGACTGTGAGAGCCGTTCAGCAGTGGAACTCTCTGCCCCGGAGTGTGGTGGAGGCTCCTTCTTTGGAAGCTTTTAAACAGAGGCTGGATGGCCATCTGTCAGGGTGATTTGAATGCAATATTCCTGCTTCTTGGCAGGGGGTTGGACTGGATGGCCCATGAGGTCTCTTCCAACTCTTTGATTCTATGATTCTATGATTCTATGCGTTCCGACAGGTAAACTGGGCTAGAACCATTTGGGCAGTGTTTCTCAACCTTCCTAACACTATGACACCTTAATACAGTTCCTCATGTTGTGGTGACCCCCAATCATAAAATTATTTTTGTTGCTACTTCATAACTGTAATTTTGCTACTGTTATGAGTCGTAATATAAATATCTGATAAGCAGGATGTATTCTCATTTATTAAACTAAATTTGGCACCAATACCTGATATGCCCAAATTTGAATACTGGTGGGGTTGGGACTGATTTTGTCATTTGGGAGTTTTACTTGCTGGGATTTATAGTTCACCTAAAGTCAAAGAGCCCCTTGAACCCCACTCAACATGGCCAACTGTGAATAAATTTCTTTGTGTACTGTAATGTTGGCATTGGTTTTTTCCCATTAGTATCACAATAAGTCTAGTCGTGTCCAACTCTTGGGGGGAGGGGTGCTCATCTCTATTTCTAAGCTGAAAAGCCGGCGTTTTACTTAGACGCCTCCAAAGTCATGTGGCTGGCATGACTGCATGGAGACCCATTACCTTCCTGCAGAAGAGGTACCTATTGGTCTACTCACATCTGCATGTTTTCGAATTGCTAGGTTGGGAGAAGCTGGGGCTAACAGCTGGAGCTCTGATGGTCTTTGGCGACCTCTCTGACGCCCTCCTCACGACACCCCCCTCCAGAGTTCCCAACCTCCAGGTTGAGAAATGCTGACTTAGAAGTTAGGTAAAGGTAAAAGCTTTCCCTTGACATTAAGTCAAGCTGTGTCCAACTCTGCCCGGTGGAACTCATCTCTATTTCTAAGCTGAAGAGCCAGCATTGTTCTTAGACGCCTCCAAAGTCATGTGGCCGACATTACTGCATGGCGAGCCATTACCTTCCTACAGAAGCAGTACCTATTAATCTATTCACATTTGCATGTTTTCGAACATTGGGAGAAGCTGTGGTTACAGCTGGAACTCTGGTGGTCTTTGTCGACCCCTCTGACACCCTCCCCTAGACCCCCCCTCTAGAGTTCCCAACCCCCAGGTTGAGAAATCCTGACTTAGAAGTTAGGTAAAGGTAAAGGCTTCCCCTTGACATTAAGTCAAGTCGTGTCTAACTCTGATGGATGGTGCTCATCTCTATTTCTAAGCTGAAGAGCCGGCATTGTTTTTAGACGCCTCCAAAGTCATGTGGCCGACATGACCGCATGGCGAGCCATTACCTTCCTACAGAAGCGGTACCTATTAGTCTACTCACATTTGCATGTTTTCGAACATTGGGAGAACCTGTGGCTAACAGCTGGAGCTCTGGTGGTCTTTGGCGACCCCTCTGACACCCTCCTCAAGACCTGGGGGTTGGGAACTCTGGATATAGAATATATCTGGATATTCTATATCCAGAGTTCCCAACCCCCAGGTTGAGAAATGCTGACTTAGAAGTTAGGTAAAAGTAAAGGCTTCCCGTTGACATTAAGTCTAGTCCTGTCCAGCTCTGGCGGGTGGTGCTCATTTCTATTTCTAAGCTGAAGAGCCAGCGTTGTTCTTAGACGCCTCCAAAGTCATGTGGCCGGCATGACTGCATGGAGACCCATAACCATCCTGCAGAAGGGGTACCTAACTGGTCTACTCACATTTGCATGTTTTCGAACTTCTAGGTTGGGAGCAGCTGAGGCTAACAGCTGGAGCTCTGGTGGTCTTTGTCGACCCCTCTGACACCCTCCTCAAGACCCCCCCTCCAGAGTTCCCAACCCCCAGGTTGAGAATTGCTGACTTAAAAGTTAGGTAAAGGTAAAAGTAAAGGCTTCCCCTTCACATTAAGTCTAGTAGTGTCCAACTCTGCTGGGTGGTGCTCATCTCAATTTCTAAGCTGAAGAACCGGCGTTCTTCTTAGACACCTCCAAAGTCATGTGGACAGCATGCATGCATGGAGAGCCATTACTTTCCTGCAGAAGCAGTACCTATTGGTCTAGTCACATTTGCATGTTTTCGAACTGCTAGGTTGGGAGAAGCTGAGCCACCCCCCCCCCCCCCCCGGGTCCCGACCCCCAGGTTGAGAAACGCTGTCGTAGATCTAAGGCAGGTTTTCCGAAATCCCAAACACTCCTGGTCAGGGGCACGCGCCCTGCACGTGGCTTTCTTTCTCCTGGGTCCAAGCCCTGCTCCCATCCCGAGGCAAGCGCCCCATGGAAGGGCGCGGAGGCTGCTGCGGAGGGAAGGAAGGGGGCGTGGCGTGTCGGCGCGGCACGTGGGCAGCGGCGGAGGGGTTTCCTCGGAGCCGCGGTGTCATTTCTTGGCGGCGAAAGAGGCGTCCAGCGCTGCTCGGCATCAAGGAGGAGGAAGAGGAGGAGGAGGAGGCCCCCGCTCCCGAGGTAAAGCCCCGGCGCCCTTTGTGGCAGCCCCGTGAGGGACCTCGCTGTAGAATGGCCCGAAGCGCGCTGGGTTAAGTCCAAGCGGCGGCGAGGGGAGCTCCCCTTCGTGAGGGGTTGAGGCGCGACACAGTGCCAGCCCGGCTTTGTCGGGGAAAGGGCTCCTCCGGTGAGAAGGGTCCAGGCAAAGGAGCGGGACCGGCTTCTGCGCCTCTGAGGGAATAGAAGAAGGGGGGAAGCAGGCGGGGGAAAGCACCTCCGAGCCCTGAAGGGCGGCAGGTTGAGGAGAGGCATCCTTTCCCTGTTTCCCGCCTTCTCTTTGCACCCTTTTGGAGCAGCAGAGAAAATGGGGTGAAAAAAGTTTTCCAAGGAGGGATGCCTTGTGTGTTTGTCTGAAGCCAGGCGCAGGAATCGGGTAGGATTCAGACAGACCCGTGTCTGCTTCGACTTTCCAATTCCCAGTGTTTAGATAGACCTCTTTTATGAGTCTGGTTGAGATATCTCTTTATCTCTCTCTGGTGTTACTCCTGGCAGGTCTCCAAGACTAGTGGAGTCTGAAAGTATCAGAATTGTGTTGGATTTTAGACTCCCCACCCCCCCTTCAACATTTTGGGATTCCCATATTTGCACTTATGTATATCATGAAGATAGAAGGTAAACATATAAACCTATACAAGTAAACATATAAACATATTTGTGTTTCATCTCTGTACATAATGGAGACAATGTAAACATATAAGCATATACAAGTAAACATATATATAAACATATATTCATGTTTCACCTATGTACATAATGGAGATAGAATATAAACACTAAGCATATATTTATGTTTCATCTATGTATATAATGGAGATAGAATGTAAACATATAAACATATATGCCCATATTTACATCTGTGTACATAAGGGAGATAGAATATAAACATGTAAACATATAAACACATATTTATGTTTCATCTATGTACATAATGGAGATAGAATGTAAACATATAAACATATATGCCCATATTTACATCTGTGTACATAAGGGAGATAGAATATAAACATGTAAATATATAAACATATTTATGTTTCGTCTATGTACATAATGGGGATAGAATGTAAACATATAAACATATATGCCCATATTTGAATCTGTGTACATAAGGGAGATAGAATATAAACATGTAAACATACAAATAAACATATAAACACATATTTATGTTTCGTCTAGGTACATAACGGGGATAGAATGTAAACATAAACATATAAGTGAACATATAAACATAGTTATGTGTCATCTGTGTTCATCATGGAGATAGAATGTAAACATAGAAACATACAAGTAAACATAAACATTTATGTTTCATCTATGTAAATAATGGAGATAGAATGTAAACATAAACATACAAGTAAACATAAACATATAGTTATGTTTCATCTTTGTACATAATGGAGAGAGACTAAACAAACATATGCAAGTAAACTTAGAAACATTTATGTTTCTTCTATGTACATAATGGCGATAGAATGTAAACACTAAACATATATTTATATTTTATCTGTGTACATAATGGAAATAGAATGTAAACATGTAAACATATTTATATTTCATCTATGTATATAATGGAGATAGAATGTAAACATGTAAACATATTTATGCTTCATCTATGTACATAATGGAGATAAAATGTAAACATATAAACATATATACCCACATTTGAATCTGTGTACATAAGGGAGATAGAATATAAACATATATTTATGTTTCATCTATGTACATAATGGAGATACAATGTAGACATACTGTATAAACATACACAAGTAAACATATAAACATATATTTATGTTTCATTTATGTACATAATGGAGATGGGGTCTTGGCGATGGAACCTAAGACTAAATATGAAATTCATTTATGTTTACTATATACTCATAACTTAATTATATACACAATACTATCAATAAGTTTGTGCATGAAACAAAAAGTTTGTGCACATTGAGCCATCAGAAAGCAAAGGTGTCAGTATTTCACCTGTTTGCATCTATAATGGAGAAGGACTGTAAGTGTTTCATCTATGTATAATTATGAAATTAATGCATTTCATATACACTCATACTCATAGCCTGAAGATAATTTTATGCATTTTAAACAATATTTTGTTTAAAACAATATTTGTGCACATCGAACCACCAGGAAGCAAATGGAGATGGATTATAAACATATGTAAGCATATATTTATATTTAATCTATGTACATAAAAAAGATGTAATCTTGGAGATGGGACACAAGTCTAAATATGAAATTTGTTTACATTTTACACAAACCCCATATACATATTTCCTTGAAGGTAATTTCATACAATATTTTACTAATTTTGTGGATGAAATAGTACATGAGACAGTGAACCATCAGTAAACAAGGGTGTCATTATCCATGCCAGCCATGTGGACGGTTTTGAGTTTTAGAGAATTTGGGGATTCCAGATAAGAGAGGCTCAACCTGTATTGCTAGGTTGAGGTCCTATAACGTCAAGCATCATAATGCTTCTTGGTTACTTTGCCTTTTTTTAACAATGCTCCAATTTATGTATTTTATTTGCTTTATTTTTAGCCCACCTTTCTCTTGATACAGGGACTCAGGGCAGCTAGCAATAAACATAACAATAAATCCATTAAGATATGAGTATCAAAATAAAAGAAACAGTTAAATCCTTTGTGTCATTAAGTCATTGAACACAAAGACATCCAAACCATTCAAAATTCACTCCCCACCCCCCAGATGCACTGCAAGCCAGGATGAGTTTGGAAAGTAGCTCAGTTAAAAGTTTGGTGTTGGTTCAAGTTCATGTGGCTTTGTTGGGACATCAGGCACAAGGGGACATCCTTCCCCCCTTTTGTATTTTTAATTCTTTCTTTGTGCACCCCCGAGGTTTGCAAACTGCCTGGGTGCCTAATGGGCAGTGAAGCAGCCGGAATCCATCAAAATGATGAAAGAGTTAACCTGAGGGAAAAGGGTCACAGGCTCACGCAGAAGGAATTGGGACACTGTTATTTTTAGCTGTTGTCAGCACAATAAGGAGGCGGAGTATTGAGTGAAAATATGTATGTATATATAGCAGATATGTGTGTATATATAGGAGATATGTGTGTATATATGGGAATGAGTTCACTTTTTTGCAGCTTGGCAAAGTTGGAGGGTCAGAGATAACAAAATAGAACACCTGGCATCTTGACAAAACTGTTGATACGACTTAAAGATAAAACATTGCAGTAAAAATATAGGATAGATTGGCAATTTGGAGCAACTTCCTTTTTGAATAGCAGAACGACTTCTGAGAAGTGCTAAAACCAGATTGGAAGACTTTTTATCTCATTGATGGGTTGAGATAATCTCCTGCAACAAATGTCTCTCTTGCACCTTTTGTCCCTGTGCTGCTTTTGAGCATCAGGACAGAAGTGGAAAAAAACATGGCCAAGCAGTTAGAAACTATTTGAACGGAAGCCTTCCTTTTTGTAAATGAAGCTTTAAACAGGATTAAATGGCTTGTGTAACTGCTGAGTGCTGCTTAAAGGACTGGTGAAGCAATCATATAGCTGGCCAGAAAGCAAAGTAAAAATAATTGTAACAAGAAAATGAAAGCTTTATAAGGACTTCAGTAATGAACACATAATAATTGATGATACGAGGCTGTAATTATTTTCGTATTTACCCCATTAATGATAGTAATTTAACGTTAATGCCTTGGTATTTTATTCCTTCTCATTTGCAGACAAAAGCACATCTGAGACATCATCAGGGAGTAATTTGATAATCTAAAGTCATGAATAGAAAACACTAAACTATGCTCACAAGTCTGACAACGTAAAGCGGGGAACAAAATAACCTCATTTGATGCTTATTATCTGTCTTTTATAATTCTGTTTACCATCATTTGCATAAATGCATAGCAAAATTGTGTACTAACCCCATTTCTGTGGATAAAGGAAACTTTGATGCTCACAGATTTGTTCGTAGACTAATAAACATTTCCTTGGAAAGCCAGTCAAAAAACATACTTTTAGATTAGGTTGAACATTTTTATGGAAGAGAATTCAGCCAGAATACAAATTTGATCTTCCCAAGAGCATCTGTGTAGCCAATTTGAACCAGCTTCTGATTGAGAGGAAATCAGGGACTTCCTTCTGGCCTTTCTCTGTTCACTTTGCAAAAGGCAAAGAGTTTTAATACTCAAAGTATGTACCCATTGTCTTTTTTGATTATTGAGCTTAATTACTTTAATATTTTAAAATGAAGATTAGAGGTATGAATATTTTTAGATGAAGATTAGAGGCTTTCAAACTCTGGTCTACTGTTTTAGTTATTTGAAATTAAGGATAGTAGGTGCATGTGATTTTTTTAATGAAAAACACAAATCGGAAATATTTATCTATGAAAAATTCACCATTCTTCTGTTCTCCAGTGTACTGACATTGTAATATAGGGCCTGTCCAGACAGTACCTTTATCCCAGGATCTTCCACAGCAAACAGGAGGGTGGCCAGATGCCGTTTCCTGTAAACACGGAAGTAATAGCTACAAAAGGCAAAAGACGTGAGAATTCCAGGTGCGGGAATATTGCGGTTTCGAATATGCGGATCTTCACATGTCTGTATGTCCCTGCACTCGGAAATCACAGTATTTTTTAATCTGGGTTTGTTTCCGGGTTTTAGATGTTTGTTCCTGATTGGTTGGTTCCTAAAAAGAAGGTGACACTTGAGTAGAAGGCAAGATCTTTGTTTGTGTGCTGGAAACTTCATGAAACATGTGGAGGGCACATTTTCTCTGGCCAGGACAAAGAATGAAAGTTTTGGAATGATCCACTGCAGTGATTCTCCGCATATCAGTATATTTGCATCTTGAGGATTTTTTTAATACCAAAGTTTCTGGCAGAAGTCCTGTGGTGGCTATCTTGGTAACCTCTAAATCTTGCAACAAAGCATCAAGTCTGGACAACGGAGGCAGAAATCCTGGGACCAACAG